CACACACACATGCACAAAATACACCAAAATACTAGTGTTTGTCCAGTGAGTCATGGGTGATTTATATCTGCTATATATGCATATATACATAAAATAAAGAAACACATATAACATATCTATTAAGGAAAAGAATGGTATTATTTTAAAACGTGACTTACGGCTCCCCACTGTCTACAGCATTAATCAAGTCCAAATTCCTTAGCACTGCACATGTGAGTGCCTGTGTTCTGGACTCTGCCATCCTCTCCCACCCCATTTCCTATCAGTCTTACTTTACACGGGGTCACTGAACCTCAGTGACCCAGATATTGCCTTTTCCGGTCTCCGGATCTTTGCTGTGTCATTCTTTCTGCCTGGTGCAACATCCCAACTCTTCATTGCTTAGCTCCATCCTCCGTGTCCTTCAAAAACTGGCTCTCCTCTTCCAGGAAGCCCTCCGGACCCTCCAGTCTGAGCTAAGTGCTTCTCCTATCTGCCCTCATGGCAGGAATGCCATGCATCCACCAGAGCACTCACCCTATTCTACCATAATCGTCAGTACACCGGGCTGCTACCCAGGTTGCAGGGAGGACAGAAGGTATCCCTGTGTGAATCCTAAAGCGCATCCTTTCCTCCAGATCCTTACTGTCCTTTGCCAGAAAGCTGCCATAATAAACCCACAGATCCGCCATGATCCTGCAGCGATTGGCACTTCCTGGAGAACACAGTGTGGTGCACCTCCAGCCTAGATGTTCCCGACTAGATGACAGCGTCCCCCAGGCAGAGACTGGCTTTATTTTCACGATTCTATCTCTAACACTAAATGTAGTATCTGATCCAGAGTAGGCTTTGGTAAAAGTCTGATAAATGAGAGAGACACTATCGCCTTGGCTGCTGGGCCCCACACCGAGAACTCTGACAGCCCTTAGCACAGAGGGAGGAGGAAGCTGTGCTGCTGTGGTTCCCAGCCCTGAATGAACATCCAGACGTCCTGCAGAATTAAAAATAAACTATAACTAAAAATAAACATCCCTGCGCCCTACTTCAGACCTTCTTAATCAGCATCTGAAGATTGGGGAATGATTATCTGTCATTCTTTCTTCTTTTATTTCTTTTTAATTTTTGTTAATTCTCACCTGATGATATATATATATATATTTTTTTCACTGCTTTTTCAGAGAGAGTGGAAGGGAGAGAAGGAGGGGGAGAGAGAGAGCAACATCAATGTGAGAGAGAGACACATGGACTGGTTGCCTCCCGCATGCACCCAATGGGGTGGGGTGGAGTGGGGAGTGAACCTGTAACCCAGGTCCATGCCCTTGACCAGGCGGACACTCTAACCAGCCAGGGTGGCCTTTAATTTTAAATTGCTGATGAGATCATGATACTGATCCATCAGATCAACTGGGAACCGCTGGCCACCCAGAATGAAATTCAAGACCCCTCCGCTTGTCTTGTTTCTCCCTGCTGTCTCCACACCTGCAGTTCATCTGTGGACCCCACACCTGGCGTGGAGCACTTCCATAGAAGGAGCTCCTTACTCCCACTTCTTCAGTCTGGGTGTCTCAGGCCTGTGCTCCCTGCAAGCACGGGCACTCCAATAGGAACGGGGAAAAGAGCACAGCAGGACATTTGTATGGCACGAAAGAGAAAATAAACATACAAACAACCAGCATTTAGGAACATACGAATCTGCCTTTAGAATTTTCCAAAATAGGACTTGAACGTTTTGTTTATATAAACGGAGGTTGCAGCTGGACTGCCTAAGCTGTGTACACCTATGGGTCAGGCAAATTTGGGCGTGTCTGAGGTGTGGCTGGCTGGGTCCACCAAATCTCTGCATCTCAAGGGGGGAAAATGATCCTAAAGGAACAGGGTAGCAGGCATGCTCACACTCACTCCAGGAGAGCAGTTATCACTCGCTAAGGAGGGAGGACTTACCATATGCCCAGCACTGTGAAGGTCCTGGGAGAAAAGAAGTGATCTTAAGCTTCATTGCACATGAGCCTATGAACTAATTCTCTTGTATCTGCACTTGGCCTAGCCCTTGAGATTACAACAGAGGAAAAAGCAGGGGAGCCAAAGTCCATATCCCTAAGCGCACCATAATGGGCTGGTGGCACATGGCTGCACAGCGCTGAGGATGTGTGTGGACATGAAGGCCTGGCCCTCTTGAGGGAGTGACTTTGTTTGGAATATGTTGGAGCTGGGAACAGGGAGGCACATACACCACCTACTCACGGTGGGGAGGGCCCCTCTGCAATTTCCTGGGGTCTGGAATGAGAAAGGAACAGCTGTAGGTGCTCCTGGCAGCTGTGCGTTTGTAAGCTCTTGACATGCACGGTGGGGGACTTGCTGAACTCCGTGGAAGGAAACTTTGTGGTGGGGGATGAGCACTGTATGTCACAGGCACTAGGTTGCCCATAGCAAGACATGAGGAAATGCTTGGGGAAAGATAGATACATGTAAAGCATACAGACTTTTCTCAAATGTATTGGCTAGCAGTAAATAAAACGTGAATGGAAAATACTTTCCTTTTTTCCTGGGGTTGGCGGTCACAGAGGGCACTGTATGACCATTTCATATAGAATTACAATAATAATGGGATAATATGGGAAGTGCATGGATTTTGGAGGAGAAACTAGTGCTATGGGAAGCAGAAATGACAGAGAGTTTTGCCCTCTTGTCAGTGTTCCCACTATTTCTCAGGCACTGACAATAGGAAATCAAAGCTTCAAAATACCATTGCTTTTATTGCCTGGGCCTTTCTAGAATGAGCACACATATCTATCTGGTGAAATGATGAAGTTCACCCCCCCCACCCCCCCTCCCACCCACTTCATGGGGAGAGTTACCCACTATCCAGTGTCACTTCTCAGTTAAGCCATACCTTGAAAGAGGAAAAGAAACTTCTCTGATATGCAACTCTTTTAGGGCTGAGCAGAAGGCTGGATTCTGTCTAGAGAGACTGGTCTGTGATTTGCAAAATCCTATAAACTGCTTGGCTGACTTGTTCTCCAGAGCAATGAGTGTGACAAAGTCACACCTTGATGACTTCAGCAGGAAAAAACCGGCTGCGAAAGACTGCGCGTCCCCGGGGCCCTGTGCCAGGTCCTCTGCTGCACTCAGAGGCCAGGAGCAGCTCCTGAGTCGGAGTCTGTATTTTGGAGTTCGATTTTGTATTTAGAGAGATCAGAACTGCCAAAGAGAGTTCAGTTCTACTTAAGGTAAAGAGCCCCTTGGAACGGATATTCCCACCGTAGGTAAACACTTCCTTAGCCACACACATCCAGGATTTATATCCAAATAGTTTTTCCAACTGATATTTAAAAATAAAAAGGACACGTTTTTTACATTTTATCTCTGAAACCTCTTAGGAGCAAAAGCAGTGCTTTTCATGACCTTTGCACCAGCACAGCTAACAAATATTTATTCCCACTTACGTTCTGAAAGTAAAATATATTTAAAGATAAATTCTGAAAACTGCTAAGCACACACGTACACTTAAAAACGACGAAATCTGTTTAATTTCTGCACGCTGTGCTACATGTTTCCATTCATCTGGTTAAAAGAAAGCTACACGTCATTTCTGTATATGGTGGCTAACCAGAATTTTGCAGGAGTTTCAGTTTTCTTTTCAGTTCGGCGTATAACAAAGACACATGCCACCCAGAACAAAGATCATTTAGATCTTTTATCTTCTTTGATCCCTTTTCCCAGTAACTTGCAATCTGAGCTTGGAAACAACTTGTCCATAGAGCTAACAGGTTTTTCAACTTTTCCTGGTTTGCTAATGGTAGGTTGTTCAGCAATATATATCTCTGCCTTAAAAGAAAATCACTTAAAAACACAACTCCCAGCTACAATGCACAGTAGGATGATTTCTTTTCTCCTTAAAAGAAATGTTAGCTACAAAAGGAATACCCCTCCATGTTAATTTCCCAAATGAGAGAATTCCTGATGTTTCAAACAGTTCTTACAAAACGAAACAAAACAACAACAACAACAACAACAACAACAAATCAACTCACCTCTTTGGAAAGTATTCGCTTGTAAGTGGCTCTGGTGGAGGCAGTCCCGTCAATCTACATCCTGTTCAGCTCTTTATTATTTCATCAAAGACCAAAGCGCCTCTGGCGAAAGCTAAGAGCCGGAGCCTTCCGTCCACCCCAGAGGAGAGGACAGAACTGTCCCCCCAAAGTCCAGGAGCCTCATCCCCCGCCACCAGCTGCCAGCTGCCTACCGTCTCTCTGCAGAAGTGACCTCTCACACCTTTCCCCGAAGCCCGGCAATGCACGCCTAATGGTTGGACGCACACGCACACACGAAACACACACCACGTGCCAAGCCAACACCTTAGGAGGGTGGGAAGCCCTTCAACCAGGAAGGCTTGCTGGAAATATTCAGCAGTCAGCTCAATCGCACCGAGGCAAGAAGCCTTGCTTGTTGTTCGCAAAACAATCCAGCCATGTGAGATCTGATTTATTACGGATCTAAACCAGGAACTATCTGAGGATCTAAACCAGGAACCCTCTGGGGCGGTGACTCCACTGCTCCCACAGCTTCCCCTCCTTCATCTGAAGTTTACATTCTGAGCAACGGCTTCGCAGAGGTTCTGATTTGGCCAGGGTCTCTGTGGCCATCTCATTCATTAATGCTCATTCCGTGCCCCGTCTTTCTCTGCCCCCACAGACACACCTGCTCCCCAAGGAAGAAGTCGTTTTGATTTGAATGTATCTGCAGGACTGCCGGACGGAGGCATAGACCAGGCGTGGGGAGCAGTGGGAAAATTGTCAGTAATTATTACCTGGGATGTGCGCCGCTGACTCGAAGTGGGATTTCAGGTGAGCCAGGTTTCCCTAAGGACTTTGTCCCTCTGCAAGCTAAGTCCTGTTTCCTGTGTGAGTATCTAAATTTAAATTCTGGGAGCAAACATTATCATTCTGAGCACACATAGGCTGCCTGCCAGCCTTGGGGATCAGGTAACTAATGAGATGTCACGTGGCCTGAATTTGACTCACCCTTTCGGTCCCGGCCCCTGAAGCTTCCAAATGTCCTTCCTGGGTTTTCTGAATGAGAACAGAGAAGCAAAGGAGGATCTGAAGCTCAGCCGGGAAGGAACGGGTGTTGGGTCTCTCGGTGTAGGTATGCTTTTAGATCTGGATGTTTGTAATTCCAGAGGATCTGAAAGAAAAATGTAAAAATTCTGCCCAGGTAAATGAATCCCATGGAACTAAGGCTTTATTCTCTCTTCCCTCCTCCTCCCTCTCTCTGGAGTCTGGAGGGGCAGCAGGCATCTCCTCATGAAGACCTCAGGACCCGGAGGGCAGTCCTGTGCCTCTGATGGCTCTGCAGAGTGGAGAGGGTCCATGTGCACTGTGGACTGCGGTGCCATGGATACCTCCCTGTACCAGCCCTGTGAATGTGCTCAACTTACTTCCCCCTGGCCATTTAAACCCAAGGTGAGGTGGCCTGCTGGTTTAGCTCAGTGGATAGAGCATCAGCCTGCGGACTGAAGGGTCCCAGTTCAATTCCAGTCTAGGGCACATTCCTCCCTGGTCCGGGCTTGTGCAGGAGGCAACCAATCAATAGGTTTCTCTCACATTGATATCTGTCTTTCCCCCTCAAAGAGATCCTCTTCTCTCCAAAAATAAATGGGAAAATGTCCTCCGGTGAGGATTAAATAAATAAAATAAGTAAATAAATAAATAAAATACGAAGGTTAGGTGTTGGGGACCTCATTCAGTTCTCATATGGCTCTTAACCACCCTGTCCTTCAGAAATTTTTATTTTAGTATTTTAAAACATCGTGATAGGTACAATGTAACTTTCATATCAAAGAGATGAAAGGGAAAGGAAATTAAGCCATTTAAAGTAAAGAATCTCTCTATATATATTGCTACATATATGGTTTATATGTATATATGCATGCAACATACATATGTAGAATATATATGTATAGATAACATATAGCTTTACTAAGAATTCCAAGGCAACATGAACACATACAAAGTCCCTTATGCTCATTTAGTACACCATCTTTTGGGCATTCTGAGTTTATAAATATTAGAGGAATTCAAGGTAAGGAGAAAGTCACCACAGATATGAAAGGTTCAGAGTTGGGCTGGGGTCGCACACCTATGACATGAAGCTATAATGTATCAAAAGAGATTTTATCCCAACACCTGGGTGCAGGTGGGCTGAGGCCGAGAAAGGCATCAGGGAGGAGAGCAGGGAGAGATTAATTTTTTGCTGGCTATAAGCTGCTCTGCTGACATAAGGGTCCAGTCTGTCCTTGGTTCCTCCTATGGCAGGTGTCTCCTGGTTATCTGAGCTATGCTGTGCTCAAGGCTGCAAGCTTTCTGCAAGACATCTGCTAAGCACAATAAGTTTTTCTCTGCCCCGTTTTATTCTCTTTAACCCTCTCAGCATATATGGAGTTAATCTAAATACCTGAAATGTGGGTCTTTTTAGATGTATTTGTTTATTATGGGTGTTACAAAATATTGTCAATATGTAAGTTTAGAATTATTGTTACATGTTTTCTGATGTTATTAAAGTTAGCCACATATAAGCAAAAGTTGTCAATGTGACTATCAGTAGAAAGATACTTTACAGTGTTACAGTACATATGTTATAACTTCTAATGCACTTTGCTATTCTCATTATAGTTCTGTGAAAGGTTTTATTATCCTTATTTACAGATTTTTGAGAAAGTGATTGGTGAAGGTAAGTGGCATGCTGGTGGTCACATAGTTAGACTGTCCACAGAAGGTGCTTATTGGAGCTCCCAGGGTTTGAGTTACCAAAGTACCAGAAGGGTCACAGCATCGGTACACCATCCCATCCTTCCCCACCTTTCCTCTGTCTCCTTCTCCTTCGGCATCACCACCACACTAATCTATGTGCTTACTGTGATCCAGCCTAGTACTTTATACTTAGAATTTTATTTAATTCTCACAACCGCCCGTGAGGTAAGAATTATCATACCCATTTAAAGATGAGAAAATAGAGGCTTATAGAGAATAAGTAACTTGAATCACATGGATTCTGATAGAATAGAGAATATATTCAGGGTGGAGATTTGAATCCAGGAATTTAGAAAACGTTAATATCTATGTTCTTAACCATTGTATTATATGTATTGCTGATTCTAATAACAGACACCCCAGACATTATAGTAAATTTTCAGTTTACTCTTTTCATTGTGTGTGTTATGACAGTTTTGTATGATATTATTTCAAAATAGTCCTAAAGGTAAATGGGTTAAACTCAAGAACCACTGAGCCATTATCTACAATACTGTGCCATAAGAAAAAAACAAAACAAACGAGATGTAAAAATTTTCTCACCATTTTCTGCCATCCCCTTCCTCAGCCTGTATGTAAGGGGTTGTTTTAACATTTGGCTAACATCTGTTTCATTGCAAAACTTTTTTCTTTGAATTTCTTCAAACCATTCACCAGTCACTCCTTGAAGCCATCTGATATCCCTCTTTGTCTTCTGGAGCTTGCTGCAATAAAGAAAAATATCAAATGCACCTTTAAATTCTTCACATCAAGGGTAAACTCATGTGAATGGGCTAAACTTTACCTGATAGAGACTTTCCATAAACTATAAGTCTAGGGAGAAATTGGCTGTAGACAGAATTTCATTTTCATGATTGTGTATATGTAGTATATGAATTAGTTATTTCTCCCAAATACACTAACAATCCTCATCCTATATAATAAAAGCCTAATATGCTAAGTGTCTGGTTGTCTGGTTAGCCACTCAATCAATCAAAGCATAATATGCTAATGATATGCTAAGGTTGCTCAACTGCTCACTATGATGTGCACTGACCACAAGGGGGCAGATGCTCTGACCGGTAGATTAGCTTACTGCTGGGGTCCAGCTGATTGGGACTGAGCGAGATGGGTCAGACGCACCCTGGAGCCCTCCCGCAGTCCCTCCCCGGCTGGCCAACCTCCTGCATCCCTCCCCAGCACTGATCGTGCACTGGTGGAGTCCCTCAGCCTGCCTGTGCCCTCTCACAATCCAGGCTGAGGGATCCCCCCACAAGTGCACAAATTTTGTGCACCAAGCTTCTAGTTTACAAATTAAAAAAATAAGTTTTTGCTGGTAGTTAAAATAATCAAGTCAATGAGGACAACCTGTCTTGAACACTGTGCAAATGTGACTTAATATGCATTTGAATGACAGATTTTTCAATGACATGTTGAAACTAGAATATTCTTGATCTGATTACTCATTCATTCATTCATGCTTATTGAGCAATACCCATGTACCAGTCCCTGTGTAGGCAATAGGGATTCAACAATACAACAGATAAGGTATTTACTTGCCCACCCAGTGATCAAAGATAAAAGAAACTGCAGGGAAAAAAATTGTTGAATGTAAGTGATTTTAGATAATGGAATTCTTTAAACACAAAAACACAAAAGTAATAAATGAACATAGAGCTAATACACGAGTAGTAAGAAGCAGTGTGATTTGAGATAGCTGGAAAAGGAAGCCCAAGCACAAGTGTGTCTGCCCGCGCCCCCCCCCCCCCTTTCAGAATACCAGAACTGAAATTCTATCATTATTTCTTCCTTCTCCTCTACCGAATTCTGCTTAGTCCTCTTTCAAATGAAAAGCTACTCTAAGTTTTAATGTAATCATTGGTTGTAATAGGGTTTTTTTGTTTATTTTTTTGTTTTTAAATTACAGTTGGCATACAATATTATATTAGCTTCAGGTGTAGAACCTCTTTGTAAGTTACAACTTTGTAAGTATAAATGTTACAATTTACAAAGTAGTGATCACCCTGGTAAATCTAGTACCCATCTGATACTATACATAGTTATTACAATATTATTGTCTATATTTCCTAGGCTGTACTTTATATCTCTGTGACTATTCTGTAAGTGCCCATTTGTACTTCTAAATCCCTTCACCTTTTTCAACCAACCGCTAACCCCTCTCCCATCTGGCAACCATCAAAATTTTCTCTATATCTGGCCCTAGCCGGTTTGGCTCAGTGGTAGAGCGTAGGCCTGTGGACTCAAAGGTCCCAGGTTCGATTCCGGTCAAGGGCATGTACTTTGGTTGTGGGTACATCCCAGTAGGGGATGTGCGGGAGGCAGCTGATTGATGTTTCTCTCTCATCGATGTTTCCAGGATCCCTTAGAACTGTTTGGAAAAGAGAAGTGCTCAGTTCAGAGGGAGACAGCCCTGAGGCAAACAGAGCAGAAAGGGGGGTTTGAAGAACCTGACAATTGTCATGAAGTAGGCAGTTTGGCACAACACTGGTGAGAAAGTCAGACTTGCTGCTGGGTTCAAACTTGGGAAGTTCTGCTGTTCTGGAAAGAATTTCATGTGACTCTGCAGTGGTTGCTCTTTATCCAAGATCCTCTGTGAAGCACACATTTTTACATTTTTAGGGACCTTCTCCTACTACCAAGAAGGTGATGTGCGGACAGCTGCAGAGTGGCAAAGTTGGAGTTAAAGGCAATGAACTGAGGTAGTTGCAACTCAGGCTCCTGCTTGGGGCTATGATACTGTCATTTTATAAAATAATTGAGAAGGAAGCCAGAGGCCATCCTGCCCAGACTTGCATTTTGAAAAGCATTAGGCAACAATCATTAGGTCCAGCCCACATAGTTTGCCCTAGTGCTTCCCATTTCGCCCTTGCCACCCTTCTGACAAAAGGTCACTCCTATCTTTATTGCTACTTCCCTTACTGAAGTATCTTACACTCCTCCCCCCTTTTTTTTGTTGATTTATTTCAGAGAGAGGAAGGGAGAGGGAGAGAGAGATAGAAGCATCAATGATGAAAGAGAATCACTGATCAGCTGCCTCCCGCACTCCCCCTACTGGGGATCCAGCTCACAACCCAGGCCTGTGCCCTGATGAGGAATCCAACTGTGACCTCCTGGTTCATCGGCTGATGCTCAACCAGGGAGCCACACCAGCTGGGCAACATCCTTTTTTTATGTTTTGTCACTTTGTTGTTGTTTTTTTTTTTTTTTTTTTTTTTTTTTTTTTTTTTTACCATGAAATTGCCTTTTAGGTGTGTGGTCTAAATATTTGCAGCAAAGATGTTTATGGCAGAAATGCTTACATTGAAAATACAGTTTCTCACATGGTTGTAAAAAAAACCTTATTCAATAGATACTTGTGCAAGGCCTCCTATGGTGCAGATACAGAGGTATAATGGTGAGCAGAGCAGATATGTTTTTTTTTTAAAATGTGTTTTTATTGATTTTAAAGAGAGGAAGGGAGAGAGAGAGAGATGAGGGGAGAGAGAGAAAAAAAGAGCCCTAGCAGGTTTGGCTCAGTGGATGGAGCATTGGCCCGGGGACCTAGGGGTCCTGGGTTTGATTCTGATCAAGGGCGCATGCCTGGGTTGCAGGCTCAATCTCTAGCGGGGGGTGTGCAGGAGGCAGCCTATTCACGATTCTCTCTCATCTTTGATTTTTCTATCTCCTTCTCCCTTCCTCTCTGAAATCAATAAAAAATATTAGGGGGGGGGGGAGAGAGAGAGAGAGAGAGAGGTGTCAAATGAGAGAAACGTTGATTGGCTGCTTCCCACACAACCCAAATGGGGATTGAGCCTTCAACGTGGGTATATTCTCTGACTAGGAATAGAACCTGCAACCCTTTTAATAGCATCTGTTGAAAAGTAAATAGATGCTTATGAGAGCATATAAGAAGGGGACCTGGTCTGAGGCAGCAGCAAAGATTTCCCTAAGAAGATGACAAATGGCCTGAGGGTTGAAAGGGTCCTGGGCAGGAAGAGTTTTCTAAGCAGAAGAGTAGCAGCCGTGGAGCAAGTGGCCCAAGGAAGACACAAGGAGCTGAAACGAGGCCCGCCTGGCTGAGGGTGGAGATGGAGAAGACAAGTGAAGGGAGAGGAGGAGGCAGCTGGCTGCCAGGTCAGGCAGTGCTTGGAGTTGGGTGAAAGCCTGGCATTTGGTTCAGGAGCAATGAGGAAGCACTGAGGATGTGGCAGGGCTTGACACATCTGACTTGCATTTGGAGAGAAAATGCCAGTGGAGTACAGGAGAGAGATTGACCCCAAGTATCCACCAAGCAGTGAAGTGACTTTGCAGAATTAGGGACAGACACATGTCTAGGAAGACTGCCAGATTTTTTTTTATTTTTGTAGGTGCATAGAAGATGGTATTCATAGACACAATGCTCATATAATAATAATAATAATAAAAACCCAACATTATATACCCCTTTAACATTACTCATCTTTGGAGCAATCATTAAATATTTGCATAATACTCAAGCTGGTATATTTTCCATAATTTATGTATTGTTGCTCTGGTGTGGAACATTGAGATTTCCCCCTTATAAATACTGCTGTAATGACTATCAGGAGCATTTTCTATTTTTTACATGCCTCTGACAGACACTAAAGTTTTGAATTATTGGTCAAAAAGTCAAAACATTTTTGTGGTTCTTCACACACATTACCAAATGCTTCTCAAAATGGCTGTAGCGTTATTACTTGTGCCAGCAATGTACAAGACTGTCATTAGGCACCGTTGGAATACTCATATTATTATTTTGAGTATTTTTATTTTCTGAATTTAATACTTCCAAGGTGGGTGGCTATTTTTCTTTTTCTTTTCTATGCCTAAAAAAATATGCCACATTTCTTTGATAAGTAGTAAGGTTTGAATACTTTCCCATGTTTGTTTACTAATTACATTTGGTGTTTTGGCAATTGTACCTTTTATCAATTTATGAATCCATGTCTCAGAGTTTTTCATTGGAATAAGACATGATTAATAAAAATATGAACTAATTGCTCTACATACTTCTCCCAAGTTTCTGACTTCCATCCTGATTAAATGTGAATGTTGGGCCATAGAGAACTCATTCTGCCTAGACTAGAGCAGGTAAAACATAATTGATCTGTAGGTGTGTATATGCTAACATTTGTCTCATGAAAACCATGAGAAATAAAGACAGTAGTTACAAGCAGGTACATAAAAGGGCAAGATTTTGGAGAAATTCAACAGCTTTTAAAGATGAAATATTTCAAGGTTAATCCCGAGGAGTGTTGTCAGGAAAGTGGGGATCATGTACAGCCAGACAATTTAACGGTAAAGTAGTAAAAAAAAAAAAAAAAAAAAAAAAAAAATAGCACTGTGTTTACCTATTACCAATGAAGCAAAACATAAATAGTTCTAGCCTTTCAAGTAAGAATAACCCAGAAAGGGAAACCAGCAATGCCACAAACATCTAAACTCTTTGCGTACTTATAACTCAGCTCCTTAGTCTTAGACACTCAAGCATCCTGTGCACTAGAAAATAGCCTGTGCATTTATAACGGTTAAGTGAGCTTTTTGTAGTAAAAGGAGCATAATTGTAAACCAATGGTTTAGATTCATTAATTTACTCAGAAATAAAGTATCAAATTAGTTCAACACTAACAAAAGAAATCCTGAACCTAAAGTAGGGTGCCCTGACATGTGAAACTTAAGAAGCCAGTATCTTTAAGTCTCAGCT